TTGTTACAATTCCAGGAATGCTTTGCCTGCATGAAAAATTTCAGATCCATCTTCCTTGTATCACAGGTTTTGTTGGATTTAAGGATTGCAAAACAAAGATTGAAAGGTTATGCAAACAATTATTTCCCCAAAGAATTACTAAGTCATATATTTATTAAAATTTGTGGCGTTAAATCTTAGGGGAGGTTTTAGTCTTACTAATGTAGCTTAGATAGGCCAGGAAAAAATGAGTGCTTAACTTCAGCTTCTGCCATCAAATTACTTGAACATAGTCTGGGGAGACCTACCCTTGAGGCCCTCTGCCAGATACTGGAGACCACTAAGGATTGACTTAATGGTTACTGTAATTTTCTCTGTTTTATTTAATTTAAATAAGGAAATCCTAATTTTAAGGGACATCTAAGAGCTAATCTATTTTGCTTATTTTCCAGATGAGGATTTAAGGCTAAGACAAGAAAAAAATGTGGCTGGTGAGTCTAAGTACTGGTTACTAGGGAATCAGAGGACACTTAATATTTGAAAAAGCAAGAAATGAGCAGACTGCTATTGGTCAATCAGCTGGATACTTTTCCTCCCTTCTTAAATTCTTGTTTTTTCTAATTATGTCTTCTAATAAAGAACTTCCTAAACTGATGGTTTTATTTTATTCCATCAAAAAGAAAGCCATGTCATGTAGAATTGAGAACACTTAATTTGATTTGTTGTGTTGATTTGTAAACAAAGAGGAAAATGAACTAGTGGATTTATCAGACGTGTGTATTTGCTAAACAGCTCTACCAGCATCTAAACTCAAAAGTGAACAAAGTAATCTGAACAAAGTAAATGAACAAATGAATCTACCAACTTGTTTGAATATACAGAGAGGAACTGTGTAGTATAGAGCTCCGGTCACAAGGCCTGGATTAAAACCTTGAATATAGTGCCTAATACTTTTGGCAAAAACCTTAACTACTTTATGCTTTACAATCTTTTTTTTTTTTTTTTTTTTTTTTTGTCTTTTCCCTTTTTATCGGTACCAGGGATCGAACCCACAACTGCCTGCTTGCAAGGCAGGCACTTATGCCGCTGAGCTAAATCCCCAGCCCCTTCACAATCTTTTTTATGTCAGTACAGTGCAGTAGTACTTACAGTAACTGGGATTATTTTAAATTAGCAAATAGGTATGAATCTTTAGCATAGATCTTTAAACAGTGTTAAAATTGTATTATACCAGGAATTGGTGTATGGGATACCATGCACAATATTTCTCCATTAAGAATTCTTGGAGTCTAATCCTGGGAATGGACAAAAATCAAAGTGATATGTAGTTCAAACTGTGAAAATCACTTAGAATGTTAGAGGAATTTTGGTTCAGAAAACTCAACCTAGTTAATTAAGTATGCCAGAGAATGGTTCCATGGCAAAATAACTTTTTCCAAAATCAAATCACATGCATTGTCTCGATTGCCTTTATTCTGTTTGGTTCTGTTGTATTTTACTACCTTCAAAATAAAAAACAATCAAATGACTAATAAATCATAGACCCAAAATTTAAACTCATCCTTGCTTTAGAGTCCATGCTTTTGTTCCCAAAAGCAATATTAATTCCTTACTCCTTGACTTCATCCATTCCAATGTAAAGAAATAAAACAAAATATGATAGTTGCCCCTTTTGATTGCCCTGATGGTGCTTTAAATTTTTAGTTGTGTTTTATCTTCACAAATGCATAGAATGACTAAAATAGTAAAATACTGATTATCTTCTATGAGTAGTTCATTGTCTTATTTTCTGGACTGATACCTATGCTTTGTCTTCTGAACATTAATTCCTATAGCTTTACTATAAAAGTAATAATGTAACCATGTGTGTTTTATTTGAGAAGAAAGCATTTATAGATATTCTGCAGAAATAATTGTATGTGTATAATTGCTAGATTACTTAGTGTAAATTCCTGAACGTGTGTGTGTGTGTGTGTGTGTGTGTGTGTGTGTGTGTATTTGAGTCAGGGTCTTACTATGCCGTTCAAGCTGGCTTTTTGTAGCCCAAGCTGGTCTCCAGTTCACAATGTTCCTCCTGCCTCTACCTCCCAAGTGCTGGGATTACAGGAGTGTGCCACCATGCCCGGCTTGAACACACTTTTGAAATCAATTTAGTATGAGTACTTTGTATGGATTTAAAGATAGCAATAGTAATGTAATCTGCCCATTAATTTCCAGAGTTATGTTTTGCATAAATGTATGGCTGTTTCTAGAAGGGTAATACATCCCTTTACCTACCTGTATGTTGTCAGCTTTTAAGAATCAAAGCTGATTAAACATTGCTGGCGTGCTCTATAACTTTCCTTTTCAAAGCTGGGATGTGTTCTCTTCTGGGAAATCTATACTTGAGTTGTTACAAACATTGCCACTATAGACTGTGTAGCATATTTACATAAGGCTTTGTGTTTCCAGTACTTTGTAATCATTGCCTTTTAATCTGTTGACTATCCATATGAGGTAGGTAGTTCTTTCAAGCCTCCAAGTCTCCTGCAGGGGAATTTTGGTGCCAGAAGAAGTATTATGATTGGCACAGACTTTTCTTAATTTCCCAGAGGCCAGACACCTGGAGAGGCTTTTCCACAGGCCCAGGTACATGTCACATGGGACTACCTTCTCTTTCCATCTTAGTGTAAGATCCAGTGACTTTGTGCACCATTAGTTATAATGCCGCAGTAACTGTGTCAATCTGTCTTAAACCCACAAAGAAAGAATACGTTTTAGAATATTCTTAGAGAATCCATTGATCTTGTACTTTCTATGCAGTACATTTCCACTGATGACACCTCTGTGACACCAACAATATGGTACTTTTCATTCAGTTTTAACTTTTATTTCTCCTTGATTACAAAATAAGCATCCAGAGTATCTGTCTTACGATTTTGTAAGGTATTCAAGTAGACAAAATATACATTGATATTCCTAGTGATTAAGTTGTTAATAATAAGCATCAATCATAATATAATGCTAGCAGACATGTGTTTTATGCTTATTGTGTAACAGGCACTGTGATATACTAGATATACTTTCTCATCCTTGTAGCAATGTTGTGAAGTAGAAACTACGATTTGTTTTACAAAGAAGAAAGCGAAGGCTAGTAGATTGCCTACAGTGAAGGAGTTTATAGAAAACCAGAGTTGGAATTTAATCCTAGTTCTTTTGGCACCAAAGTTAGTTCTTCAATCACTATATAATAATTCCGCTTGATGGGGAAGGTAAAAAATATGTTATTAAAGTGATGGGACATCAGGTAGCTACGGAATGCGAGGTAGGCTAGACTAAAAAGTCAAAACAGAACTGCAAAATCATGTAAAAGAATTGTTTTTATCAGTATCATACTTGAGTTGAATCTTTTTACCTTTCTATGTACCTGTCATGACTTGAAATGAATGAAAAATATTGAGTGTCAGCATTTTTATTGATAATTTCTTGGAAAAGGGACTGAGTTTCATTCGTCTTGTAATTGCACATAATAATGCTTAAAACTTTAAATGGAATTATTGGCGCTTTAAAGTAGCTAGAAAATTCTCACGAAAATATATTTTTAGTCATCTTTTCTCACAGAAAGAAATTTCTACAAAAGACAGTGGCTTGCCCAAATAAAACTTATACAAAAATAGATTTTTAGTAAAAATTTAAGAAATACGTGACATAATTTTATGGGTATGGATAATACAATAGTCAAGCTCAAGAGTGTGATTTTTTTTTTTTGTCTTTCTGTGTTTTGGCCTATGATAAAACTCAAATTTAAAATTAAACCCTAGAAAGAAGAATAGAAATGACCTTATTTTATATTAGTTAATCATTTGAGTAATAACTTTATAAAGAAACAACCTGTAAAGATCATGGTGCTTTAAGTATATTTGCTCAGTGTGTGCTCACTATGTCTCCTTCTAGTGTAAGTAATGAGTTTCCTATTTTAAACATTCAAAATATATTTTGCAGTTTCAACTGTCTAGTTAAGTTAATGCTGGTATCATTGTACTCATAATTAGTTTTCCTGTTTTTTACAGTTTTTTAAAGAAACATTAATTCCTTACATTACAAAATAATTCTTCTACTTTTGGAAACTATAGTGGAGTTCATGTGTAAAGTCACCAAAGAAGTCTTTGTGTTGTAGTTTTTCTGTTTATTTAATGGCTATGTAGTATGAAATATCTGGTTAACATTTTCAATTTTTATACAAATATTTATTCAAGAATTTTAATTCTTTTGAGCTGATTCTAGCATTTTTTGGGAATTAAACTATTTTTTCAAAAAATAATTTATTGTTACTGTTCTCTTAAAAGAATTAGTAGGACTTTGCTTGAAAAAGAAACACAGGTATGTGATAGAACATTCAAAGAAATGATAATTTTTTTAGCCCTTAATACATTGTTCATCGTAAGACTGTATGTTCTGAATATATTTTTCCTATAATTCATTTGTAGATGCACTATAAAATGATTGCTGTACATAAATAGATAATTATTTGTACACCTTTAAGAAAAATATGTCTATTATTAATCACATGCAAAAAGGAAAATACTAACATGAATACAATATAATTCTAATGTAAAATGGTTAAGTACTTTGATCTCTATAGAGTTACTGAGTTTTGTGTGAGAAAAAGTCATAAAGCTTCAGCTTTAGGAATTAGATGCAATGACTCCTGTAGATTTAGTATTTTCTTTGAAGTTTTTCTATACTTACAAATGTCTTTCTTACAATTGATTATGAGTTGTGTGGCTATATTACATAGTAATTAAAGAATAATGCATTGTTGAAGTAAAGGGACTAGGTTTATATTTCCTGTAATATGTAATGATGCTTTCAAAATTGTATAAAATATTATAAGATTTTTCACTACTTTGAAAATTATGTGTTTCTAGTATAAACTATAGAAAGTAAAATTTAATCTGCCTAAAGAGAGAATGGGAGCATCTTAAGTATTTTAATTTAAAATTTAAGGTGCTAATTCTTGTGTTTTTGTTTTCTAATTTTAGGTTTTAGTATAAAGGCAGTGCCATTCCAGAATGCCATCTTGAATGTAAAAGAACTTGGAGGTATACCATTTGAAATTCTTTCTCTCAGTCACTTTACTTATTTGGTATTTGTGTATTGAATGTAATTAAAACATTGTAGTAATTTATTCTAGGTGATTCATTTTTACCTTTTTTCTTGATAATGTATTTCCTGGAAATGCTTCCTTTTCTTAATGTTTTAAAAGCTGTTGAAGTGTTCTTGACTAATATCAACCATGTTTTTTCTTTTGTATGGGTCAAAGGGTTACACTAATGGTAATTGATGTACTGTATTCAGTGGTTGTAGTTGTTCAAAATATGTATTCTTGAGTGAAGAATATGAAGAGAATTTTAATGTAATTATTGAAAAATAAAGTACACAAAGAAATGAATTGTATTTATATTGCAAATTTTATTGTTTTTAATCCTTTTAAATGTATTTGTAACAATAATCTTTGCAAGTGGGCTCTTTGCTTACCAAGGATAAGAATAGGCTGTACCCCAAAGCATGCGTCACTCAGTCTTTCACATTATTCTCTGGAACTTTTTTTGGTTAGGCTTTATATCAATCAAGATCTTAACTCATATAAATAAACAAAGAATTAAGTCAATTCAGTGAGCCTACTTGATTCTCTTATGGTACAGGAAAATTACATACTGTATATTATACTGTACTCAGGAATTCAATATAATATTGATGAGCTTAAAGATATAGAAGTTGTTTCTCTCCCATTTCTTTCATCACTTTATGATATTGACTTTCCTCCATGTTGTTTGTTTTTTCCTTCTTCAAGGACATTCTGACATTGACCTGTTTTTATCTTCAAATTAAAACACCAGCTTTATGCCATTTTAACAGTGTTTGGTACCTTTTTATTTTTCTCCAATAAATAATGGCTGATCTTTTTAGGTTTCTTTTTCAGAGTACTTGTTTAGGACAGATATACTTTTGTTGGTCAATTTCATAGCTATCTGGCATATAGAAATGAAGTTAAATGTAGCAAAATAAATCTAGATTTTTCCTTTAAGTTAATTTTGGTTTTTATTATTCTAACACCAAAAATTATACAATAAAAATATTCTTATAATAACTTTACATAATATTTTTAAAATGCTGTTTTATTAGATTAAATATTTTCATACTGCTTTGTTTTTTGGTAGCTATTTTCTCCTCACTGTCAATAATATTATTTCTAGATAATTTGAAGTCAGAGAACATACTGTAAAAATCTGTAGACTCAAACTGTATCATTTGAGAATTCTGTTGATTTTAAATGTGATTGGTACTTAATGAGTATTTTATTGTTAGGGTAGGCATTCAGCTTTTATCGATTATTCAGTAGGTAAGGTAAACTGTTGATTAATGACAATACATTTATTATAGTGATATTTATTTGGATGACCAAATAGTGAATATACCTGTACAGTTCCAAATGTGAATTCTTACAACAATGTATTAAAGCCTTGATTGTTTGATTAATGATAATATATTTATTATAGGTGATATTTATTTGGATGACCAAATAGTGAATATATCTGTATAGTTCCAAATGTGAATACTTACAACAATGTATTAAAGCATTGACTGTATGCCAGTACAGTGAAAGATAAGTTGGAGGACAAAGCATGTGTAGTATGGGGATAGATCTGTTCCAAAGCAAGGTTTTACTTGGTGGAAAGAACTGTTCCCCAACAATGAATGAAGTGGAAATTATTTTAAAGAGGATATAGTAGAGGAGGCTGGGGATTTAGCTCAGCGGCATAAGTGCCTGCCTTGCAAGCAGGCAGTCGTGAGTTCGATCCCCGGTACTGATAAAAAGGAAAAAGACCAAAAAAAAAAAAAAAAGAGGATATAGTAGTGGTTATTGGTAATGTTCCAGTTCATACCTGTTTTGTGATGAGACTGAGAGTCATAGTTAAAACACAGAGCTTCAGAGACAGGGCAGCTATTGTTAGATCCAGAGTAATGATACATGGTTTTGTGCATACATTAGTATTATCCTTCTGAATTTTAACAGTTCTATTTCAGTGCGAGAATATCTCAAGGAAAGGTAACTTTCACAATAGAATCTAATTATGTATCCTTAAAGGCATGCTAAGAGGCAAGCAACGAAAGTAGTTAATTCTTGGATGGTTGATTCACTAATTCACTTACTGAATCTTTTTTTTAACTTAATACTAAATTATGGTTTACAACAACACGTAAAAAACTATGCTAACATATACAAAGAACGTGTAAATACAAAGCATTTGTAGGATTTAAAACATATTATAAAATACTGAGAGTTTAGGGAGAATTATGACCTATTGAAATCAAATTGTCTGAAAGCTGCGTGCCTGAGAATTTTTAAGTTCAGGAAGAATTAAGTGATTTAGATGATTGTGTGAAGTTGCACAGATAAATAACAATGCAGAGTTCCTGAAAGGATAGGTTAATTGGAGTTAGATTATCAGTGCAGTGAAAAATCTAAATTAAAAGGAAACATTTAATATAGATGATGAAGGTAGAGCTAGAACAGTGACCAAGTCTTAGTGAGACATAGTTTGATACTTGTCTTCATCCTGAAGTTAGCTCAGGAGAATGGCATGGCTCCTTTTCTCTCCTAAGCTGCTAATGTCCTTTCTCTATCCTTGCAGATAATTCTAAGGCTTTTCCATTACCCTCTTTTCAGCCTTAAGTTAATTTTTCAGGCATTTAACCAGGCCTGGTGCTATAATTTCAGGGCTCGGGGAGGGTAAAGCAAGTTGAAAGTTGAAGCATAACCTAAGGCAATCTAAAGAGCTAGTGAGACCCTGCTTCAAAATTAAAAATTAAAAAAAGAGAAGGATATAACTCAGTGCAGAGGCCATGAGTTTAATCACCAATACTAAAAAAAAAAAAAAAAAAAAATTCTTATGTTTTCAATATAAGAAAACACATGAACTTCTTATATTCCTGGTCTTCTTATATTCCTAGTCAGAAGAAATGGTAAGGGATGAATAGAATGAGTTAAATTTAATGAGTCATTTTGTGGAGTGTCAACAAATTGTTTGATTTTATATGTTTGTGCAAGTATATATATATAATACTTATACACATAGTATGCCCTTTCTGCTTTATGAAAATATTTTCACATCTATTTTCAAAGTTCTTAAAATTTAAAATTTTCATTCACATTAACCTCTTCAGTGTATTTTCCCACGGTTCACTCAATTAATTTCCCATAATTAAAGTGTGTCTACCAAGGTCCTGGGAGAGAGAATAGAAGCTCCAAGACATACTCTTTATCTTCAAGGAACTCATGGCTCAGTGTTGAAGATATGAAAACAAATACAGGAAATTAATGAAATTTTTGAAAATAATGAGATTAAGAAGGGGATATATAAGTACCAAAGTACAAGATAACTGATGATATAAAGATAATTACCTCTGCGGTATGATGGTCCAATTCCGAGATCTCCTCAGATTACCTGTCACAACCACCAAGCTGCACTGATTATGCCTATCTTCATGTAAATTGAAGCTCTAAATTTTCTCCTGTTTTTCTCTTCTTTTCATCTTTCCTTCAAACTTTCTCACTGAATCTTTGCAACTCCATGTCTAGAGTATATGCTGTTAATTTTGTTACAGATGATAAGACACCAGACATGAAAATGCAAGAGAGCTTGAATGTCTTGACCCAGTGCATTTGGAGATGCAGGTGGTAATTGATCTGCATACTAACTTAACGCGTGTACCATATATGTAAAGCCTTTTTTCCAGTGCCTGACACAGTAGAAATTGTTCCAGTTGTCGCCTGCTGCTGCACTTAGCATTATTATCTGTGCCATTTAAAGTCTTCATATGTTGGCATGTTTTCACCAACACTGTACTGATAAAACACCATCTTGATAAAACACGAACACCTTGCCATCTACCAAAAAAATTTATAGTAGTTCATCACTAATTATTGCAGATGCTTTTGTTCTTTATCTTTTTCCATTACTCTCATATTTAGTGTTTCAGGTCATACTCTTATTTAGTTGCAATGCTACTTTCTGGTAAGGTAGACCTGCTTAATTGCTTTGATTTCTTTACCACTTTCTGTTGAATTAGAGCCTTGTCTCTGCTTTCCAAACTGTCTAAATAAAACTTCCTACAAATATTCCCTTTTGATATTCTTTTACTTTTTTTTTCCAAATTCATTCATTAAACAATTATTTACTGAGTGCATATTATATGCCTGAATCAGTTTTAGGAAGTTGTGGTGGTTATAGTTTAAAGATAAGCACAGCCTCTGCATAAACCAGGTAATAGGTATGAAGAAGGACCCTTGCATAGTTCCCTCTCTCTAATTAAAAGGAAGTATTAATTTCTGTATGCCTAGAAGGAATTGTTGGGTTAATTTTTTCATAACTGAAGGGATTACCTAGTACTATCCATGAAGGGAGGGGTGTTATTTTTGATCCCTCTATAGACATTTCATAGTACTATTTGATGAGGTACTATTTCCTACATATTCTTTCATTGAGTTTTTTAGTGAAGCTATTTTAAATACTTTCTGTTCTAGCTGTAATTGATTAGTGTGCTTGCTTTGCTCTGTATTATTTTTGTAAATGTTGTGCGAGACACCTAGCAGTGAATCTGAATGGATAGGTGGCATTTTCTGTCAGCATTTTCCTTGTTCTGAGTGACTTACTTCCAGGTCATTATTCTGTACTATTTTATAGTCAAGTCCGTTTTCCTTGTATCTGTTTCATCTCAAAAGTGTAGTCAGAAGGGTTCCAATGGCCTATTTTACTTGAAGACTAAATTAGTTAATGCACATCAAGTACTTCAGAGTTTGCCTATTCTATAGCTAACATGTAAGATTTGCTTTCACTATATTACATTCTCTTTACTTCCCCCACCAAAAAAGAGACATCTTTGAATGAAGTCTTTTATCCAGGGTTTCTAACACAAATCATATATTCATTCTCTGTCTCTGTCTCTGTCTCTGTCTCTGTCTCTGTCTCTCTCTGTCTCTGTCTCTCTGTCTCTCTCTGTCTCTCTCTGTCTCTCTCTCTCTCGTCATGTGTCTCTC